AAAAATTAATAGGATAAAAATAATAAAATTATTAATTTATTTTATTTTAGTGTCCTCTAAATTTCTACACTCATTTAAAAAAAATATTTTATGAGTGTAATGTCTATTTTTTTATAAGAGTAAATTTCTTTATTTAAATATATGTAAGTTAAAAAAAATTATGTGACAATTATTCTCGTTCCTCTTAATATGAATCCTCTCCCACCAACACACAATATACATATATATGATCAGAGGGTTAAAAAATAAAATAAAAATTGAAAAACAACCTACACTAGTAAACTAAATTGTGACATCATTAATGAGTAAAAAAGCAATAAATCTTTTAGCCAAAAAATGTAGTATATTATAATAATAAAAAATAAGGAGGATCTATTTATTTCAAGAATACATTTTGATAAATTTATTTAACTCAATAATTCATATTCTACATCAAGTATTTAACCGTTCAATTAAAAGTCTTTAATATATAGATCAAATTTATAAAAAATTTAAAAAATTAAAATTATTTGATACTTCATTTTATTAATTTAAATTGATGGATAATAAAAAAATATTTTATATGTTATTTTGAATCTATCTAACGAAATATCATATGGTTTCTATTTTTTTTTTAAATTTATAAATTTGATCTATACATAAAAACCTCTTAATTTAACAATTGAATTTTAAAAAATTTGATTTAGAACATTAATTATTAAGTAGAGTAAATCTATCAAGACTTACTCTTGGAATAAGTAAACTTTTTCTTTATAAAATATTAAGATAATTTTGTCACAAAATAAAAATAATTAAACAATAAAATAAAATATAAAAAAATATTAATATATTTATTATATTAGATATAACAGGATAATTAAAATATAATAATAATATATATTTTATAAAATAATTAATATCTTATATATAAAAAAATTAGTGAAGCCAAGTGCCCCTAGTGTTGTTAATGTAGATCCGTCTCTGTTCCCATGGATATATAATGTGAATATGATAGTAACAACAACGATAGTGATAATGATAATGATTATTATGATAAAAAAATTATAATAATAATGATATATAATAATTTTATTTATAACTTTTTAAATTAAATTATTTATTTTAATTTAATAATTATTGTTGATAATTTTCATCTTTTTCGTATTAATTTTTTTTATTTGAAACATCACTTTTTTTATATATATAACTATAACAATTGAAGGAAAAAGCTCTATTAACAATCTTAAAATAATTTAATTTTCACTTTTTTTTCTTAAAGTACACATTTCTTAAAAAAGTTATTAAAAGTTTGTCTCACTTTTAATGAAAATAAACCATTGTCCTTTTCTATTATACCCATGCATTGGTTACATCTTACTATTATTATTCAATGCTTTCAAAGCAACTGCATTTCAATTTCATTAAGCCTTTAAAGAACAAAATCTTATTTTAAGATAGGAGGCTTATTTTGTAAGTAGTTAGTAGACTGGAACGGGACGTTCCTAAACTCGAATGGGCCGTTTCAAACTATTAAATAGGCCTAAAAATCCTAGTTGAGAATGGATCGTTCCAAACATGGTCATTGTGAGTTAAACTTAACTTCAGAATGAGTCGTTCTAATTTAAGAACGGGTCATTCTAGATGTGAGTTTTACACATGATGAAGGAATGGAGAACGGGTCGTTCCGAATCTGAAACGGATCATTCTGGCCACTCCAGACTTCTATAAATAGGCCACATGCATGTAGTTGAGGAGAAAAACAAGGGAACATAGAGAGAGGTTTTAGAGAGAAGTGTCAGAGAGAATGACTCTAGGTTTGTGAGCTCCTTTCTCTCCCAAATTTCTCTGTATGATTCTTCTTCTCCTCTAGATCACTAATGTCTTCTCTTGAATTTCAAACTAGAAAACTTGTTTTTGGAGGATTGAAGTCCAGGAGTCGAGCTTTGGAGGATTCTTCTTCTTCTTCTCAGTTCTTGGCTATTTTGAGTCAATCTTCAAGTGAGGGAAGCTAGGATTCTCATGGATTGGTTGCATGTTAGTTTAGAAACTCAATTGATGCATGAATAGGAGATTGATTTGCTGATTTGAGGGGTATTTTTCATTTATGGAATTTTTGAGCTAAAATGAGGTTTTGGTCGGTCTTGATGAATCAGATGGGTACATGTTATTTTTAGGACTTGGATTGAACTGTTGTTGGTGCATGGATGTTATTTCTTCTATTGCATGTGGATTAAAAAGTTGCTTGATACTATGTTGTATATTAGTTCATGTATGTATTATATATGATGTAAATTGGCACTTGATTCATATGTATGCTTTGTAATGATATATATGAATGTTTAAATATGATATGACGTGTATATGTTCATATGAGAATGATATTGATCATGATGGTGGATTGACCATGTATGATGTATGATGCATTATTGCATGTGATGTCTTATGACATGTGTCTAGCTCAGGACTTGAGGAGAGGAAAAATATTTTCGAACTGGAAGAGCTCACATAGAGTCTCTTGAGAGTGGTGCTTGGATAGGCCACTAATATAAATGAGAGTGGTGCTTAGATAGACCACTGGATTTGGGTGAGAGTGGTGCTCAAGTAGGTCACTAGGTTGGGTAAGTCTCCTCTAAGTCTTTAGCTAGTGTTGGAGTGGAGTATGAGGTCGAGGGTTATTCCCTTAACCAAGTACTAGGGAAGGTGCGTGGTTCCTTGCGGATAGTCGGTGGGCGAACTCCACAAGTGACTTGGTAATGCATGTCAAGGTCGTGGTAAGCCTGTACCCAACTGTGCTATACATGACGGTGGAACCGGACTTCCAAGAGTGTAAGTGACATCATCCGAGTAAACTCGAGTGAGGATTTATATCATGTTTAGCTGTGATCGAGCGGGCGCATTGGGTGTGAAAATGGTTGGGGTGGTTTTGGTAGGATTGGGATGTCACTTATACTGCTCTACTGTTAGGAAGATCTCTTAGGTGTATGCGTGACGACTCATTAGATGATTGATATGTATTGATATCTGTATGAGTTGCATGTTATTGCATGATTGTTATGATGATGAAGTGTATGGTGTTTGACTTTATGTTTGATGAATGAATGATTGATTGATATGGAAGTTCCTTTAGGACTTGATTTGGATGCATGTGTAGTATAGATTTTATTCTGTACTTGTATGATTGCTTTTTGAACTCTAGTTTACCCTTTTGTTTCCATGTGGATGGACTACGATGATCATATTTGGTATAAGAGCAGGTCAGGGCTAACTTGGAGTTGAGGTGACCGCTGCGATTAGAGGAGTTTGGTCCCAGTGTTAGAATTACCTTCTTAGGTAGCGGTTAGTTGTGCTTGACCAGCACTAGGGTGATGTAATTTTGGGATGACTGTAGATATATGATGTTATATTTTGTACATAGAAACTCAGTATTTTACTTACATATATATGTGTCTGTATGTATGAGTTGTCCAATTTTAATATTTCTCTTAGTTCACTAGTAGTAGTGCGACTCCACTAAATATAGAGACCATGATGAGTCGTTACACTTTTATTATTATTTTTAATTATATTATTGATGAAATTTTTTACTCTTATTAATAACTAATCTCTAAAAAAAATTTGATTAATTATTTTAAATATAGCTTGACACTCTAACAATATTTTTTTATTAATAAAATTTAAACACATGACCTTACTTAATAATTCTTGGTTTATTTTCATTCAGATCAACATCGAATTATAGTATTAACTTATTTTTTAACTTATCATTAAATAAAAATAATATTTGAATTGTAATAAATATATTAAAAAATACATATTAAATAGCTTCACAAATATTAAAAGCTTTTAAATTAGTTCTGAATTTTATTTAACTGTATCTACTTAAGAATTATACTGATAAGTGTTTAACGTTTTTAAAATTACTTAAATAATTTTATTTCTTTAAAAACAAATTTAAATAAAGGATAATATCCCGAACACGTATTAGTAACATATATACTAATCAAGTTATTATGTTCTGGCAACTTTTAACCAAGATGCTCACGCGACGTGCGTGAAGCGGTGACAGGGAAAGAAACATACTCCATATATAGAATTCCGCCACTATGATAACAAAATATTCGCAAAATGCTTTTGATATTTTCTAAGAAAATGAGTAAAATCTAGTACTAATAATGATAGTTATAATTTATAAATCTCATGGCTTCATTTTTTAAATCTTTTGGAAAGTTATGTGTGTCTAGTAATGACAAAAATATTTAGTATATTTTAAGACACCCATCAATTTAAGGTCAAATAAGAGTGAGAAGATGCCAGAAGAAAAAAAAAAGGTAACACGGGGGACCTATGACCTGTGATGCAGCGCAATGATTCATCACCTTTGGGCCCTGGCCCTAACGATTCTTCATATTTTTGTTTGTTCTCAACCGTCCTCACACTTTTTTGGCTTTTTCCAGTTATTTTAAACCTGTCCACTTTCGTTCCAATTCAACCCGTTTCAGTTTCCATTTACACTCTCTGTAGCCATGTCCGTCACTGTGATGATGAACACCACCGCGTCCACTTCCTCCATCATTTCAATCTCGCCGAGGAGCACAAAACCCTTCATCCTCCAGCCACTCAAAAGCCGCCTTCCGTTGCTTAAGCCTTTCAAGTGCGTCCAACCCCATTCCGGCTCCGCGCTACCCCCCCCGGCG